ATCTTCCCCAAAGCAATATACTTGTCCTCTTTTTAAGAGAAGGGTATGGGCCCAAGTATCCAGTGAACAAAGACTGGGTAGAGGTGCTGTTAGAAGTTCCTAGGCATTTATGCATTGCATGGAGAGTTTGAAAGGAGGTTGAGGGCTCAAGAGCGCCAACATGGAAGACAGAATTGTGCTGGGAACACAGCTACTATACTCAGTGTTCAGAACTGCATTCGTGGGCCGGTCAAGCTCAAAAGAACAGTGTTGAAAAAGTGATTATGTGTTAAGATAGTTTGGCTGTCACCAAAATAATATTGCCTATTGCCAAGCCAGGAACTTTTGCCAATCAGTGAATTTTTAATAGTGATATTGTAAGTGAGCAAATCTGGGCTCGGCCATGTGGCACTTTGACACATGGCACAAGTAGTGTTGAAGGAAACAGGTTTTTATTAATAGGTATTTATTTATCCTTGGGAGGGGGCTGAGCGCACTCCTGCTCAGAGCCCTCCTCTTCCCTGTGACCTAGTGCTTCCCTTGCTCCCCAAAAGGCTACAAGACAAATTCATACCCAGAAATTCCCTGTACCCTTGTCTGTTCTGAAGCCGGTTGTGCAAACAGATCTCCATCCCCTCTGGAAGGTGCACTTGTGGTTTTCACAGTCACCATCCTCTCGCAGCAGCCCTCTCCTTCAGGATCTGGGGTGCACTGTTCTCAGCCTCCATGCGGTGGTTCAGGGAAACATGTGCCATCTTACACTGGGCCATGGTAGCATCCAGGGAGGCACGGTCCCAAGAGAGTGACTTCTTCATACATCCTTCAGAGGAGCAGAAATGGCTCCTCTCTCACTTCAGACCACATGGCTTCTCCCTTACACATCGGGCCTCATGGTGGACCTTCTCACTCACTCTGCACCTCTTCTCTCTGTGGTGGACTCTCTCCTACTCCCTTACAGCCCATGTGGTTTCCTCTTACACACCAGACCTCATAGCCGACTCCCACCTACTTCCCCTCAGATTGTGTGGTTTCTCTCCTCTTTCAGCCCACCCTCATTAACGCTTGGCCTGGAACTTCCTATGTGATCTCATATCTGGTGCTTCTAATGATGTGTCATTTTTGCCAGTTCTCCTGTATCTTTTACCTTCTTTAAGCTGCCATGTTTAGTCATGGTGAGAGTTCCCAGTGACTTCTGGGGTGGGCATCTGCCCCCTGCCTCTCACGCAGGTGGTAGCTTACCCACCCTGGACAGCAGTCCTCTCCCCTTCAAGAAAGGCACAGCTATTAACTTGCTATTGTTATAAAAAGTATCTTAAATGCCTGTCCTCTACTTCCACTTCCCCTCAATCAAGGTTTGTAGGAATTTTCTCCTATTTGCAGGAGACCTTTACTCTGCACCCCATTATAATACCAGTAATAAATACACTGGATTAAAGGCAAAACATCATTTTCCCAGGTGGGTCCCTTGTGGAAGGGACAGAGGACTTCAGCTTGGCTTCCAATGGGTCCCCCAATGTTCCTCTGTAGAAGGCGAGCTTCTGTCCATACTCCCCCCAGGGTATCCATTTACCATCAGTCCCATGCTGTCTGTACGAACTTAGGCGAATCATCAATCTCTGCCTCTTGCAGTTTCTCCACCTTGAAACGGAGTCAGTATCACTGGCCCCTGACTCTCCCACGCAGCGCTGGTTAAGTGATGAGGTGGACAAGAATGGGAAAGTTGGCCTGGGAGTGAAGGCAGACCCAGAAGGTAGGGCAGAACATAAAGAATCCCAGACAAAAGCCCACAGGTCTTCTGAAACAGACCCTTTAGGAGGATTTTTTGGTGTTTGACTGGCTCTTTATTGGATTCTTTCTGTGTTCCGCAGCCTGAGGACTTGGCTGCCAGTTTCTGCCCTCCAAGACTGGTGCAGACCAGGCGCTTTCTCCCGGTGCCTGTGCACTCTCATGATTGCGGAAGCAAGTGCACGTCTACTTTCATTTTCTGCTGTTCAAAAAAATCTTTTCACTGCCAGGGATTGTGGGAAAAGTGGGCATACCGCAAAACGAATGACAGGGAAACCACAAGTAATAAAATCTTTTTTGAACTGTAGGTTTTAGTTATCCTTGGCCATTTTTGAAGCATTGAAAGGGAATAATACTCACACAGCAATGATGCATGTAGTGGAGAACTGAAGCTGAGTCACAGGAGAAAGAATTGTAATTATTCGATAATATATATTTTATAAAAAACACAAACATACAGGAATAACTTTAACACAAATCCTTCACTGTTACATTTCAGTCATCACGAAGGACACACATGGTTCCAGGCAATACTCCCTATTTCTATAGTGATTTTTTTTCCCTTTCTCATCTGCTCTCTTCATATACTGTAGACTCTTCTATACTTTCTCCTTGATGTGCCACCTCATTCAAGATAATCTCCTCAAATATTCTGAACCCAGGGATCTCATATGAAGTCACTACTCCCTCACACCCTCCTGCCATCTCTCGGAGCATGTTCTTTTTTACCCAGTTTCTCGCCAAACCAAACAAAGAACCAACAACAACAGGAACACACTGCTCTGGAATGACAGGATCCTTTTTCAAGGATATGGAGGTGAAGAACCGATCTGATAAACTATAAGGCACTATTTATCCTGTATTGGAACTGGAGGAGAGAAAGTGTACACAGGCTTACTTGCTCAAATATTCATGTGATCACAGGAACTAGTCCTGACCTGTCCTAATGCCTAGTCTAATTCACCCCCCACTTTTGGTCTAAAACAAAGAAGCCCAACCCTTTGGGTGGGTAGTTCTCAGGGAGAGTGCTTTCTCTCCTTCCTCTAATACTTAATAGTACCTCCAGGGCCCTAAGCTGGGACCCAACTCCTAGTGGAGACGTTATAGTTGGGAATCACTTATCTTCAAACAGTTTGTGTGTAAGGAGTCTGGGCATGACTTAGCTGAATCATTGGCTTCAAGGGCTCTTGAATGAGGTGTGGTTTAGGTCACAGCCACCTCAAGGCTTCACTAGGCAAGGTTTTCATTCCAGATTCACGTGGTCATTGGCAGGAGGCAGCTCCTCATTGGCTCATGGACTCAGATCTGCATCTCAGATCTGCACTGACTGTTGGCCAGAGGCTGCCCTTGATTCCTTATCTTATGGGCCTCCCCAATATGGCAGCTTCCTTCCTCAAAGAGCACAGGCTCTGAGGGCAATAGAGATAGTGCTATCAAGATAGAAGTCACAATCTTTTGTAACCTGTTCTTGGAAGTGGCATCCATCACTTTGCCATATTCTACTGGTTAGAATCAAGTCACTATGTCCAGCCCACACTAAAAAGGACATGGGTCACTGGGGGTCATCTTAGAAATCTGCCAAACTCAAGACAAACTGGGGAAGGAAGGAGAAAGAGTTGTTTTAAGGTTTCAAGGATAATATCAGCACGAGAAGATGACAGTGTCTTTCTCCCTCCTAGTTTATACCATGAAGGTAGAGCTGAGGAGATGGTGGGTATGGGGCTAAAAGTTATGTGTGTATTTATTGTGCAAAGAACTGCTTTTTATACTAGGAAAGTAAATGGAAAATAATGGTAATGGAGTCGTGGGGCAGAGGAATAGCAGAGAGGAACTGCAGATAATCCCTCTGGACAGAAGTGACCCAGAGACCCTCTGGGCAGCAGGTTTTCAGCAGGAACATGCATCAAATAAAAAAGAAAGAATGAGTTATGAGCCAGATCTGGAATAGGCTGTCTGCAACTAAAGAGAGTCAAGATGGAAGAAACAAATTCTGGACAAAGAAGAGAAGGATGGTTCTAGAAAGATTCTTTGAGGCAACACTACACAGGGCTATGGTGTGGGGGAGAGGACAGGGAACATTTTTTAGTGGCATCTACCAACATAAATTTTATTTAATATATTGATTTTATTTTATAAGAGGAAGAAGGTTGCAGAACTTTTCAGAGCCTTTAATATATTAATATGCTTTGTGAAGCCCTAAGATGAGTGTGAGGGAGGCTGGAGATTGAGTAGGCAGTGCTTCTCACAAGTATTTGTTTGTTTTGTATGGAAGCTGTAGCGTGCCACACACTTAAGGGAATGCCATGTTATTAAAAGCCTGTGGCCTTTTCTTTGAGAGCGAGAAGGGAGGGATCCGGCTAAAATATTTTTAGTAAGCCAAGAATGGTGGCCAGTGGTTGAGCAATAAGCGAAATATTTTTATCAAGCACCTATGTGTTAAGCAGAAATGAACCAAGGATTTCAACATTGGGCCCCAACAATGGGAAAGGTACAAAACCAGGGTCCGAGCAGGAGTCACCAGACCATCCCCTTTTCCAACCACCCCCAGAACACCACCGCACGCCCCCCACCCCCAATTGCCCAAGCTCTGCCTGTTACAGCTCCCTTCAGCTCTCTCCCTCCTGCTTGCGCTCATGTTTCTTGTCACCACAGAAGGAATCAGGGGGTTTACCCCGTGGGCTTTTCACATGGAATTTTTTCAGTATCGTAGTGTTAGGCAATGAAAGGAGAGTCATTGAAAAAGGCAAGACAAACATGTTAAGAACCCCTCTCCCCACTTTACATCTTTTTAGCACAGAGAAAAGAAGGAGGGATCAGGGAAGGACTTCCAGCCAAAACACAGGGAAGATTGCTCATCAAGGACTGCTGATTTCTCTAGCATTAGTGGGGAATTGCTCACTGCGGGAATTAAGACACCAGTGCCCTTCTACTCAGAGGATGGGAGACCTCCCCTCAAGTAATCAGGTCAGCTGAGGGTCCAACCAGCTCAGGAGAACAAGAACAAAACAGCTATGAGAAGCCACTCCTTTCTATAGTGCACAATGCTTTCTATAGTGAATGCTGTGTATTCAGGTTAATCCTCCAGCGATATTACAGTTACTCTCCATGGTTAATGAATAGCTTCTAAGTACCTGCTTCATTTAATTGTCCAAAGGCCAGTTGGTCCCAGAGTGTATAAAGCTACAAGCTGGCTAATGAGAGCATTCTCTCTGAGCAAGGGAAGCAGGGGAGTGGCAGGGTCAGGAAACTGGCATCCAAAGGTGCAGGGATGCGGAACAGAACTGGCACAGTTCTTTGTGCCTTTGCCCTCCTCGCAGGCTTCCTGGTGGTCTGCCTGGGGGCCTTCTTCATGTCCTGGAGCTCCATAGTCAGCTGTCAGGAAAACTTGATCATGGCCTATTTGCTTCTGCCTCTGGGGTTTGTGATCCTTCTGGGTGGAATTTCCTGGAGCACCTACCGCCAGGCAAGTGGAAGCAAAGGGATGTTCAGCCATGTTCTCAGACAACACCTTGCTCAAGGAGCCGAGGGCCTGGCCACAGTGGACAGGTACGTGCTGAGAAGACAGACGACTGGTGAGGGCTAACAGGGGGCTGAATTCTGGAAAAGCTGAGTGACTTCTAATCCCACTGTGGAGCAACTTACCTGTCTCATGGGGCTGTGTGCCTAGGGCCAAAACCTTGTCATTGGGCAATTACTCTGGGTGGGGTTAGTGATTAGGAACCATGGTGCTGCCTCTGGGAAAAACTGTGGAGTAAAGGATTTTTATCCCAGAGACTCCCCACCCCCCACCCCCAACACACATCGAGAGCCCACCTAAGCCAACATAAGAGGCCCAGCTTTAAGGTTGTTTTGTTGTATCATGGGAGCTGCCCTTAGAGGCTACTGGTGGTTATATGAGCCACCTGGAGTAGTCAGGTTCAGAGACAGAAAGCAGAACAGCGGTTACCAGGCCAAGAGGCGGGGGATGGGGCGTGACTGTTTATGGGCACAGGGGCTCAGGCCGGGAGATGAACAGTGGCGGAGATGGTCGCACAACAAGGTCAGTGTGCTCAGCGTCACAGAATGGCACACTTGGCTAATGTGGTGAATTTCATGTTATATATATATATATATACATATATATATAATTTTTTTTTACCACATTAAAAAATTTCATTTAGCCTTATGGTTAGTATTGGATAACCGAAAGCCTCCTAATTGTTGGCTGAACACAGGGCCATTCTGGAATAAAACATCAGGTATCATCCTTGAGGTGCAGGCTGCAAGACTCCATACGTTCTTTCATCCTCTTAGTCTGAAATATTTTAGCTACTCCATGTATTTTGAATAACTGTACTTTTACTCATGACTTGATTTTTGACATGATTGTGCTAATTAATGATACAAACTATAATAACCAAAACTCATTTCCAATGTTTATTATACTTTTTGGCAGGGTCTCCAGATGTGATAAAAATTAAGATAACTGAAGTGATTGTAGAAGATGCTTCTGGCATGCTGATTTTATTTTATACAAATGTTAGATAATTGCCTCCAGAGTGTGAATTCCTGATAAGTGCAACTGATTACCTTTTGGGTGTAGCTTAAAGTTACTAACACATGCATACCATTGCACTGTGCAGAAATGCTCTATGAAGTAAATTGTGGACATCATGATGCCCCCTTTTACCATCTCTTCCTGCTGCATCTAGTAGATGCCCAGCCCACGCAAAATGGCTGCCAAGTCAGTCAACAGAAAGTTACATTTCTCAGAAGCATTTGCATTCAAAATGGGTTCCCAGGTTGAAGTATAAAGCCAATGGGTCTGCAAGGGTAGAATGCAGGGCACTGGGCACTGGGAATGGGAACTGGTTTGGGGCCGGGGGGTGGGGTGGGGTGGGGGTTGCGAGAGGTGAATGAGATTTGCGGGGCAAGCGGCCGTCATCCTGGAGCGTCTCGCATTACTCCAGGGGACAGCTCACCTTTCTGTCTTTACTGTCTTTACACTTGTGCCCCATGACACAGCCAGGGCTATTCTGAGTGAAGGCTGAGGTTTGGGCTGTACAGTAGACAGCAGCTTTAGCCTTTTGGCTTTGGGCCTGGTCACATTTGGAAGGGAGCTGTGCCTACAAGTGGCAGCCCCTGTTCTGTTGTGGTTACATACCACAAACACTGCCTGTAGGCACTGGAAGAATTCAGTCTATAAATACACAGCTCAACCAAGCTCACCCTCTATCTTCCTCACCTTGATGCCACACCCAACCCTATTCATAATGGAGAAGCCGGAGAGGTTTAGCAATTAGCCACATTGGGCACAAGTGCCAGTGAGCAAACAGCTCTGGCATGAAGGGCCCTGGTAGCCATTGGCCTGATGGGAAGGTAAAGGCTGCAACTAAAATCTATGTAAAGTTCTCCATTGGAACAGCTTGGGAAATGAGTACGGGTTGTTGGGGGTGTTTTTGTGTTTTGTGGTTTTTTTTGTTTGTTTTTTTTACTAGCTGTTGAGACTTGAAAGAGTGATGGGAAAGAGACGAGCATCTGATATAGTTCAGGGAACTGAGTGAAGCTGGTTTTCATTAATTATTTTGTTTGCTGTGAAGACCTGAGATAGTGGTTGCAATTGCGTAGAAGAAAATGTGTGTGAATGGAGACAAGGGTGTGAATGGACTTAATAACTGGGTAGGGAAGTTCCACAGGCAAGGCTCCCATGCCCCCTACCTCTGCTAAGGATCTCACACTGAAAGTCCCTGGCTCCAATGAGCAACAGAGAGGGGATAGCTTGGAATAGCCCCCTGCGAAAGCATGACTGTAGAGACCCACATCTTATGGCTGGTGAAAAGAGCTCTGCTGGAAGAGCGACACATTTTTTTTTTTAAAAAGCTCGTAATGCCAGGGAATAAATACATCTGTTTCAAAATCAGTGTTTCTTAACAGTTTAACTTTGCACAGTGTGATTTGAGAAAGGCAGACATATGCCTCCTTGGCACGAACCACTCAAATAACACATGCATGCTTGTGGCATTTTGTCCCCCAGGCCAGATTTTTACCCTCCTGCTTATGAAGAAAGTCTCGATGTGGAAAAGAAACCCTTTCCTGCAGAGAGAGAGGCCTTGGAGGTTCCTCCACCTCTGTACACAGAGACGGACCTCGAATTTGAGGATGAAAGTGATGCTCATCAAGAGGCACCGCCGTCCTATGACGAGTCCATGGTGGACAGAGCAGCGGCAGCAACACCATCGCAGGATGCTGAGAGGCAAAGCCAAGTGTGCTGAGGCAGGGGAAGCTCCCCAGTGTGCATGACACTCCCTTATGGGATACAGCTGCTAAAAATAAAAGCAGGCAAGGGACTGTGGGAAGAAAAGCCATGTCAGTGACCCTGCACAAGAGCTCCCTGAGGGGATCACAAGTCTGTAAGAAATCTTGTCAGCTTTATTACATTGAATGTTTTACTACAAGAGGACAAGTTGCATGTCAGGGTGGTGGCAAGAGACACAGCCTGATGCTTTAGAGCTTGGACAAGGGCCTTCATCTCTCTGGGCTTCAGTTTCCTCCTCTATCAAGTGAAGAATTTACGCTGGGGTTAGTATCTGACAATTATGGAATGTTTTGTATATGGCAGCCTCTGTACTATGAACTCTCTGTGCTTTTTATTTAGCCCTCATTACAACCTTCAGAGATGGGTGCAATGGTTGTTCCCATTTTACAGATGCATACACTGAGGCTTTCAGAAGTTAAGACTTTCCCAACAATGTGCAGTTATTTCCAGGAGGATGGAGGAGGTTCCACAGAGGGGCCTGGGAGGATTATTTACTTCCAACTTTTGTGCTGGGTTAATGCTGTCTTACTTCCCTCCTCACAGGGAGCAGCAGTTTGGACTTCTCTCCCCTTCAGAAAGTGGGCCCTAATAGGAGTGGAGGCCCGGGGTTATTGCAATATGTTAAAGCCCCTGGAAAAGCCGCAGAGGTTGCTTCCCGGTTCATCTGCTGGATTCTCTTTTAAAATGTAAATAAGGCCTCCAGGTTTTCTGCCAGGGAGCTTGGCCCTCACCTCCTGGTATAGTTTCCTTTCATCTGATCATTACACTGATGATGAAAGATGGTTCCTAATGGTCACAGGCAGCTGTCGGTGAGTGGGCAGGCACGGGAGGGGTGGACAGCGATGGGAAGGATGAAGATCTTTCCAGGAGGAAAAGGGTTGCCAAGATGGGATGGGGCCCCCGGGCCTTCTCTTCCCTGTTGTCGCTGAGTGCACAGATGAAGCGGGGCCTGACAAATACACAGGAAGCCACATAAAAGGAAATCCTGGTCCCTTTTTGGTTACATGAAGCAAGAATTTGGGCATCTGTGACATAAATCCTTGACATCAAGGGCGCAAGTGGGTATGTGGGTTCCTCACGATTGTCCAACAGGAAGACGATCATTTATTAGCAATGCAATTTATTATTCCTCTTTTATCATCTTTTCTATACCTCTACTGAGACAGTCATCCTGAAATTCCCCGAGGGTCTGAGCACATTCGCTGGCCTGAACAAGCTCTATCCTTGGGCTTTCATCCAGAGTTTGTGTTTGTAATAGATGGTTTTTCCTACTACTGGTCAGCATGGGAAACAAATGTTAATTTTGGTTTACATAAGAAAATTGTTTTAATCTCTTTCTGCAATAAATTTTGTACTTAAACTTTCTCTTTTTGTGCCATTTGTTTGTATCAGGGAAAAAAAATCAATGGAGGAACACAAGTCAAAACTTCATTCTTTATGTGGAACTAACGTAGCATCTAAATCAGTTAACATTTTTGCAAAACCACATATTACTGAACAAAAACTATGCATTCAGGAAATTAGCCAGGTGCTTTCTGAAAAGGAATACTAATTTATTGATTTTTTTTTTAAAGCATACATATTCTGAAGCAAGCATCAAAGACATGAGTATTACCCAAAACATGTACTACCTTTGAAAGGCCCAGCAATTAAAATCCACTGGACAAGTCAGACAAAAGTATCCTATGTGGTTAATAAGAATTCATTGGCCTTCCCTGGAGGATTCACTCAGGGGAAGAAGACATTGTACCCCCCATTGCTCCTTAAAATTATGATGAAATTAATGGTGATGGATTGAGAACCATGACTCCAGAATGACAGGGCGGGCACTTAGATGGCGAGAAAGTGGAAAAGAGGCAAACCTTCAAGCAGAGCATCTTTGCTTGTTCCCTCTTCTCAGATGTGAATGGTAGGCTCACATGTCAATGGGAAAGGTAGATGTTCAGTGGTGATGGCTCCCCAATATTTTAATCTTACAACGTCCTTCTGAATAGCAAGTTTAAGTAGCCCCTCCCCGCCAGAAGATCAGCATGATAAAGTCAATTATGGAATACTTTATGCTGTATTTTGCATTCCTGAGATGTAGAATGGGTATTTTTAACCCCTCCACTCAAAAACTCACAAGTACTTGTACTGACAATCTTATCCATCTTTCAGGGTTCTACTTAAACACATAGTGTTTGGTGAGGTATTTCCCCAGCTCACCTATGTTGCAGGACACATGCTAGGTGCTAAAAGACACGGAACTTGGGGAAAGACATGGGTTTATAATGCGTATCTTCACTGTATTCTGCAATGTTCCATGACAGCTTAGGCTGATTCACATACCAAGTGGACTGACTGTCAAGTGCATGAGCCGTTTCCTCTGATAGGGACTCCAGCGGGTTGGAGTGGAGCAGGCATTCTGCTAAGCTCCGACGCCTCGGATAATCTCTTGCTGTTTGTAACTGTTGAAGGGCCAAAGACTGACTTACTGGCAGTTACCTCATTTCCCAAGGTGCACAACTTCTCAGACCCTTCTCGACTCAGGAATGGAAGTGTCCTCCAGGCAGGTACCTGGGATGTCAGCGTCCATGTGCTTGGAGTATACCCCATGCCTGACCAAGCAATCAAAGGGAGTCACCTGTCCTGTTACTGCCGGTTCCCCCAGGTGCTTTTCAAATCCCCCAGGCCTGCCACGGCTGATGGGCGTTGCTGCCCAAGTGCCTTACACTGGCCCACAGCTGGCCAGTGAGACGTCACCACACCACTACTCGTGTCATTCCCAGCGTTATCTGCAGAGCACGCTGGCTCAGGGCAACCTGCTGTCAGGCCAATGTGCCACCGTGGGACTGGTCGTCAGTCTGAGGCTTCCTGTGCAGAAAGCCCTCATGTCATGTCCAGGCCCTTCAGCCTGCAATGTTACACAACAGTGCTTGTCCCATGGATACTGAGGATGTGTTTCAAGAATGGCTGCCTACCCATGTGCAAGGTCAGCTAATAAACTCAAGAATCATGGATGGGGAAGAACAACAACTTTTTGTTCTAGGGGACTGACACCTGGCAGGATGTTTACCATTTTTGGTCCCCTCCCATAAAATGCCTCCCTGGCACAGGTACACATATTTCCAAACACCCTCTGTGTGGGCAGCGACACTGGCCTGGGTGGGAACCACAGCATTATGTGTGTTGTTGCTGCCATTGGTCTGGGGGGGCCCGCGGTGTTGTGAGTGAATCCCTCAATAGGAGCTGATTACAAGGGTGGCCCTGACACTTGCCACATTCTCTCCATAGTTTCTTCTATGATTGCCTCCTGTGGTCCCCACAGATTTCTTGGATTTCTCCAGTCATTTACTCTTAGGAAAAACTGGTAGCTGGAGCTCCATCGTTGAGAACATAATGAACATGAAGTGCCGAAAAGTGACTTCCTGTCTTTCACCTCTCTGAGGATAAGGCAAGAAGGCATGTATGTATAACTCAGCAAGAGAAGCTTGGCTGTTATGTAAGGCAGACAGAATACCTTGGCAATGTGAGTGTGTGCAAGTTCCAGAGAGGCGGTGCCCTGGTGCCACTCTGCAAAAATAGGTGTCTGTGCAGCTGCTCCTTTCCATTGCTGGGCCCAGGCACTAGCTCTGCCTGCTATTTATGACGCTGTGTCTGCTTCAAGGCCACTCATCCAAGCCAACCGCTCTCTGGACCCACAGCAAGCCCTCCTACCCCTCCAATCCTGGACTTTGTTCTAGCTGCATCTGGCCCTGGTAAAATTATATAAATGGTTACAAGACCCAGGAAACTCTAGTCTTCGGGAAACTACTCAAGTGCCTAGTGTCCTGCCCTCTCGGAGTCACTCTCTGTGTAACTTCCACAGAACGTTGCTTGTGCCTCTGGTGCAACATTCATGTCTACCCGGTTCTTCGTGTATTTTTGTCATAGCTAGGAAGCTATGGAAACAGGATTTCCAAGTTACAAACTCACAGGAGCAAGAATAATGTTTTTACACATTTCTTTGCTGCACCAAAAACAGAAGTCTGCATACAGTTGTTCAACCAGTGTTTGCTGAATGAATGAATATGTACTGGGGCTGCTGGAACTAAAGAAGCAGAATTTTTAAATGAGGATTAATTTACAGTAAAACACTGAAAGTTTGAAATGATTTTTAAAAGTTCAGCGACTTGAGAAAAATAAATAAATATTCTCTTACCTCGGGCCAAGCCTAAGGATGCCCCTAATGGTGCCGACCAACACAGCACCGAGGCGGGGAGGCAGGCCGTCGGGACCCCCGCTTCGCAGAGCAGGAGAACCGAAGGCAGAGGGCAAACCATCTTCTGTTGCTGATAAAGGTCATAACTAGCTCTTTAGAATCTTAGCTCGAAGCTGCCTCCTATTGTTTGGAAGGGAAGAGACTTACAATGAAAGACTAAATGCCATTTCAGTTTCTGCTGTGAGCAATTCGTCTTTTCTGTCCCATTTATTTATAACATTCCCAAGGTTACGATAATGAAAACCAGCCCTTGCTAGTGTTCTCAAAGACAGACTTATCAGAATAGTGACCGCTAGTGGAGTTTCTCAAATGGCAAAACAAACAAATAAGCAAAATTCCACAACCTTTGCATAAGGATGAAATAAGGAATTTCTTTTTTATTGGATACTAAATGTCCTAGCACATTTCTGACAGAAGCATAGATAGAAAATGGAAACAAACCCCTTATGGGGAATGTTTCCCTGCTCGCCCTAATCTTGACTACAGCAATAACAAACTGCTTAACAGTCAAAGCGCACCACGTCATCTGTGCAAATGACACAAGTGAGAGTGCCGTTCCCAAGGAAGCAAAACATACGCAAACCGGTCTCGTGCACCCAGCGCCCTGGCTGAGGCAGAGGGAGGCTGCTAGAGCTGCAATATTCTTTTCCTGGGCAAAGAAAGCCAGCGGTGACCCTCTGCTTCCAGCAGGGGTCCCCGCTCTGCCCTCCGCTCATCAGGCCTGTATCTGTACCCCCAGTAAGGTTTTCCTCCAGCGCCCACTTCATTTCCTACCTTTACAGTATTTCATTGCCTCCTTTTACAGCCATTATATGTCAGACCTGAACTGTGTCCAAACAAGTGCATCAAAACAGGCCCTTACTGGGAGATAAGATAGCAGAGAGAGAAACCGCAGACATGGTGATATTTTGTCTCCCCGGGAGGAATGAGTGTACACCCATGTATCACCCTAGGCGATGTAATCAAGAAAGGGCCCGAGAAATGCTAAGCATTCATTTGCAGAGTCCTGTCCAGAAACCGTTTCCCACCTGCATAATGAATGGCTGAATTTGAAGGAATGCAGCCAGCTTAATAGCTAAAATAATATTTACAAAATAAGAGAGAAAAAACACCCTTTGATATGTTTCGTTAAAAGTGTGCCATTGTGATTTGTAGAAAGCTCTAGAAGGCGTGAGAGGAGGTGGCACAGGGACTTTGGAGATGGGGTGGGGGGTGGGAAAGCGGGCCCTCAGGCGGTTGGTGGGCCTGAGGGGGGCTGCTAGTTCTACAAATTTCCGGATAAAAAGCCTGACCTTGGATGAAAGCGAAGTCCTCCCTGCTGCCCGGGGCCCCTGTGGCTTAGGGTCAGCTCAACTGCGGCACTGATCTCCCCTCCATTACATTTCAGAACCTTTTCTCATGGGCACCAGCGATGCCCAGATGTCATGACTAACAGTTTCCTAGCCCACTTACTCTTTCTCAAAAGGGGAGGTTCCTTTGTGTGATAAAATATAGGTGACAAAAGATAGTGCAGCTTTAACAGACAACTGAAGACCCTATTGCATTTGGAAGAACTGATCAAAACCCAAACAAACCAGATTGTTTTCTTTTCCCACCCACTCCCCCCACCCCCCACCAGCAAATTAGCTTTTGTGTCTTTCCCCCCCAAAGTCATAAGAGGCACAAACAGGTAGCAAGAAGGCGTGGGTGCGGTGTCTCCCGCCAAGCGCTTTCCTTCGGCCCTGGTGAGTGATTCTGCCCCCTTCAGGTGATGACGGTGGGACCCCTCCGGCCGGTCCTCTCATGAATCTGGGATATTTTCAGCGCGATGGCTATGAGAGGGCTCAGCACTGCCTGAAAAAGGAGGAAGAAAGTCGTGAACAACCCACGTAAGTTGCAGGAGGGCCACTGTGGTGGGTCATGATCTCAAACATCTGGATTTGATTCCGATTTGCGACTTAAAGCCAGCGCCACCATGGGCAGGACACCTGTTCTCTGGGCCTTGGTTTCCGGTTTCACACAAGGAGATGGGGTGGGCAGGGGGAGGGAGGGGAGGGAGAAGATGATCTCCAAAGTCTTCTCTAACTCCCAGAAACTTTGATCTAAGGTAGGAACTGTACAACCCAACTACCAGTGCATTGGAGCATTTCACGGACAGAGCTTTGTGAATCAGGAAAGTTCAGAAAACCCCACTCTTCCTTTGCTACCCTCCCTCCCCTACATGTATCCCCTGCCCCATATGAACTTGAGGAAAAATATTGGTTCTCCATCCTGAGACCACACGTGGAGACTCTACTATCTTGAGATGTCAAAGAAGACAAGCCAATCCATTGGCTAGTGCTGCATAAATAACTGCTCATTTCTCCCATCAAATAATATGGTGGCTCCTTAGGCTCCTCAGTGTCCCCTAGAAGGAGGTGGGGTGATTTAGGGACCTAGGGAATAGATTTCTGGGATGATGGAGAACACGATGAGGAATAAGGATCACTTCTTGCCTGTTAGTTGCTTATCATTTCATAGGACTAAGGCGCTGTTTTCCGAAGTGCGGGGCACATACCACTCAGGATGATTTTAGTTGGTGTAGGAGACTATTTTAGATGGTGCAGACATGGTGTTATTTACAAAACAATGAGACCATCACTCTAACTTCCACTCTTCTTCAATCCTCCTAACTTCGTCAAGGAGAAACTTTTCTGCCAATCTTTAACAATTTAACCAAGACAGAGCATGCCTCAGGCAAGCATTCCCTAGGTGGAAGGTGCTATCATGGTATATTTTTATTGAATTCATTTTTATGATACCCTTTTGTTTATCAGGTATAATGTGTTTCTCCTCGTAGAGGAGAAAGTTTATCTACTGTAAACTTTCTGTAGTAAATGAATGGAATTAAATAAAAACAAGGTGAGCCCATTTAAAGGCAAATAGTAAGTAGTGACACTGATAGAAAAGAAACTTGTGAAATACTGACATAAAGGAATAAAAAGGATACTATATTGAGGAAAATAAAACCTGTAACTTTGGAGAGTGGCAGGGGAGTTCTGTCACTTGCAGCCCTCACATATACCTAAGAGATAAGGGATGAAAGGAGTCCATACATTCTCATCAGACAAGAGCACCAGCAAATACCCAGGTGCTGAGTGGCGTATAGACACAGTGTGTCCTGAGTGAAGTATACACGCAGGCCAGTCCTGAGTGATAACTGAGGGATCTAAATGCCAGAGTGAAGCTGAAGGTTTTAATTCATTAGCAAGGGAAGATGATGGAGTGTTTTTGAGCAAAAAGGTATTGCTATCAGAGCTATGCTTGGGCAAGATTTCTCTATCAGCAAATCCCTGGTTACACACACTTATGGCTATATGTATTAAATTGTTGTCCTCTGTGAAGACATCTAGATGAGAAAGCTCAGATACAACCTTGGACACTAGAAGGAGATGAAAAATCTAAAGTTATTTCACAACTAAAAAGCCAGGAGTGATTCCCTCTGGTTCCACCCCATAAACTTGGCATATAGAAACAAGAGTGTCTCTTTTCCTTTTAGTAACCCAACTGGTGTCCAGAAATATCTCCTACATTTTTTTCAGCACACAGTCAACGTGATACCCATATAGGGACATCTGCATTTTTTAAAATCCTAACCAAGGATGAGAGATAGAGAGAGAGAGAGAGAGATAGATAGATGATAGATAGATAGATGATAGATAGATAGATAGGTAGATAGCATCCCATAGGCTCCCAGACCTGGGATCAAACCCACAACCTAGGCATGTGCCCTGACCAGGGATCAAACCTGCAACTTTTTTGGTATATGGATCAATGCTCCAAACAATTCAGCCACCTGGCCAGGGCGGCATCTGGATTTTTTTAGGAGCCAAACACCTATTTTGTATAGAAATCAGGAATTATTCACTTTCACTCCTCTTCTTCTCCTATCTTCTCCTCCCTCTTTCTTTCTCCCCCTCCATTTTTTTTTTTTTTTTTTTTTTTTGCAATACACCAATAACACCTCATTGAGACCTATAAAACAGGTTAAACAAGGACAGTTTAAAATCAATCACTTCAACTGAGGTCCTGAAGAACAAGTAGATACATTTAAAAATCCTATCAATTTAAGAAAATGCAACTGAAATAGAATTTGAAATTTCAAGAACTGAAAATGCAATTGAAATGGAAGAAAATGCAATTGAAATTGAATCTGAAACTTCAAGAACTGAAATTAAAACATACTTGTTTTACACTCTTGTAAGTTTCAAGATTAAGGATTCTCCATTCCGTATTTTTAAGTGCTGGTACCTACTGGCAAGAGCAGAGTTGTAACTGATGCTGTAAATACTGCAGAGCTCCCTTTACTGATCTCTCCTGAACTCTGTAGATGAGTCTGTGCTCTCCATCCTCTGTAGGACACCTGATTGATGTCCACAGCACACGGGATGTCTGTGACCAATAGGTCACTCTCTAACATGCTCACCGACTTCTGCTTCCAACAACTGAGTTATGAGCTTACCAGAAGTCAGTTAAGTTTGTTCCTAAACATGTTAATGCCTGTTGTACTTGTTCTTTAGAGTATGCGATTATTAAATTATATGTAAACCAGTGAAATGTAAGTATATATGAGAAGAGGTTCTTTTTATGAAAACTAAGTTGAATGTCTAAAAAGAATTAGGTAATAGCAACTAGCTAACCCTGTCAAATTAGATGTAAGATACTAGAAAATATTTGAGAAAAATAAAAAGAATATAAAAAATTCTTTCTTCATATAGCTTCACAGTATCTTTAAGTTCTCACTGACTATAAAGAAATTAAAGGTGAACATTACTGATGATGAGTGAAAATCTTTTAGAGAAAAATAATCACAATGAAACGGTATACTTATGTTTAAAGAAAAGATCTTAGACCGAAATTAAAAGATTAACAAATGAGCATACATGTATGATTTTGTGCTATAAGCAATGGTTGAGATATGCCTGCCTTTAGTGGACTCTATTGATTCTCTTTCTGGATTACTGAGCCAAGCACTTCTTTCCCTGTCCTGATCATCCCAGATGAGGAGGCTTCGATGGCTGTTATGTAAACCGAAGGGAAGGAAACGCATTTTTTGGAAACTGCATACAAGGAAGGCCTTGAGTGCATGGCTCCCGCCCTGAGCAAAGAGCCCCGGGCCCACCTGGCTCAGAAGCTGGGGAGCCATCTGCCTGCAGGCGCCCGTGAGAGTTTGAGGTGATGTTCCCCGTGGACTGAACACTAGTGAGGTCTGTGAGCCATTTTCCAGGAACCCAGAAAGTCTTTAGGTGTTTGCATGGTCCTAAGGAGGCCTGCGGCGGGGGGTGGGGGGCGGGTGTCTCTGAAAATGCCCAAGATTGAGTTTTTGCCAGCCTTGTGGGAGCTGCAGGTCCAAATTAACCTGAGGATCATAAAGCAACGTATTGTTTTCTTGCCTGAGTGTGTAGAGTCAATACAGGGGTGAGCAAAAGAAAGAAAGAAAAAAGAAGAAGAGAAAAGAAAATCACCACTTTGATACATGTGAACACCAGGTACTTCTCTCATGTCATCAACCATGTATTATGGAAAAAAAGGGAGGGGAAATAGGTTTTCCCGAGGACTGGAAAGGCCCTCAGAATGGGGATTGAGAAGGAGAGATAAAAATGAGAAGCCCGTGGATGTGAAATTTCTGAGGTGAAACGAAACTCAGAGCTTGAGAAGCAGAGAGGACCCTGGAATGGCCTAGTCTGATTCTTTCCTGTCACAGACGAGGAAAGCCAGCCCAGACAGGAGACGTGATTGGCCCAGGGTTAGTCCTGTGTTCGGTGGCTGAGCTGGGGTAAGCACTTAGTGACGCCTCCTCTACTGTCCTTCCATCACACAGTTCTGATTCTGAGACCCGTGAGACACAAAAAGAACAGAGATACGAGCCTCAGGGGAGGGCAGGGAGAACTGGCAGGGTGGTCATCCCGCTGTTCCAGGCAAGCCCCGCATTAGATGAGAGGTCTGAGCCGCGGTCCCCACTGACCAAGAACACGTGGATGGTGGGAAGAGAATTCCCAGTTATGTGAATGAAGCTCCAAGATGAGTTTTTTGTGAATAAAGGAAATAAACTAATACAGACTTTCATCAATTAAGAAGAGCATTTTCTCCTAATGTCAGTACTGAGGATGCTCGACGTAGCTTTTCCACGGTCAGTTGTAGGAAACAGCGCGCCCTCGCCCTGCAGCAGACCCACGGGCGGTATGTCCATCCAGCAGTACGCACGCTGGGGCTCCAGCGCCCGGGGCTGGGGGCGCTGGGCCGTCATCTTGAGTTAACAGACCTGCCAGGCTAAACAGGGAATTGGAGCCTGTCTCTATTTAATAATTTGATACTTTGTTTATCTTGGATTTTCTGCATTGATTTTGATTTTTAAAAATACCACATTACAATATTTATCTCGATTACTGGGTTTTTTGGCACCCTTTTAAATTTTGCGCTCTGCTAACCTCACCCTAATCCCAGCCCCGTATTACGTTTTAACTGGTTCATACCCCCTGGAAGGACAGAGAAGGTTTCTCCTTTCTTTCCCATCTTATCTCTTGCTTTATGTGGTCGTTGTTTTGATCCACGTTCATGGAAATCAGAGCCACAAAAACAAACCCCTAACGAACTGAACTCCTTACCCTGGCCAGCAATAGGCAGGAGAGGTGGGTATGATGTGAATGTCACAAGACTCAAAGTAAATAGTTAACTGATTTTTTGGAGAAAAACAAAATCCTAACCAGAGACACGACCACTTCATAAAGCAAGATTCGTCAGACTCTGTGGAGGGAGCCAGTGCGGCTGGCCTCAGTGAGGAGTGCGCACTGGGGCGGGGGGTGGGGGGGGCGGGG